CGATCAATTAAAGATTCTTTTCCATCAAAGCCTTGGTTGAATGTAGAAAGTAACATTGGTTGATGCGGTTTATCAGTCACGCATATTTTAAAACAGAAAGCAGCTGTTAAGTCCATTCGAAAGTGAATCGAATTCTTCTAAACAGGAAAAGGGAAACCTTGTTATGTCCCAATAAGTCGTATTCTTTTTTGTAAATACATACTTTGGTCATGGGTAACTTGAATTTCTCTTAAGACTCTCCTTAGACTCTTTCGACCCTTAGACTCTTTAGAGTCTCCCAAGGATTTTCCAAGGGTCTGTCTAAACTCTTCTTACGCTCTTCTTAGGGTTTTCTCCCTAGGGTTTTCCTAGTTTCTCCTAAAGCTCTCCCAGGGCTCCTCCAAGGTTCTCCTAAGGTACTCCCTAAGTTCTCCTAAAGCCTTCCTGGTCTTTTCCTAGGCTCTCTCAAAGCTCTCCCAAAGTTTTCACAAGGATCTCCCAAAGCTCTTTCAGCGCTCTCAGAGAATTTTCTTAAAACCAAAGGCAAATGATGCGAGACCTTATTTCCTAATTTCTCCCTCATATTTTACTTTTTGCAATATTTGCCCTTACATTATTCCTTTCCAAACATGAACTAATCACAATTACAATCATTTCAAATACTATAAATTCTACTGTACCACGAATGCCTCAAATTACCAATCAGAGTTTTGCAAATGAAATTCCTAGTAAATGAAATATCATTCGATATTTCATAATAAATGAATCGTATCCAGTTCCACGACTGGCGTAATTGAAAGATTAAAAATTCTCCTCCAACTCTTAAATATGTTTCTAAAGACAAATTATTCATGCAAGAGTATGTCTCTTGTATATGCTACGGGTAAAAGTGGTCGGTGATTATTCTAAAGTTTCATATTCATGAGATCAGTCACAAATGGAACTTCTATCACGGTGACTGTTATTGAACATTTACAAATGTTAATGTTTCGCTCGAGGTGCGGTTTATTCAACCGAAAAGAAGGTTCTGTTTCTTGAACGGTGTCTTTCGTACAATTATATAGAGAGTTGTACATTTTCAGCTGGATATCCTTGAAGGAGATGTCAACGACCTGGTGACAAAGATGAAGGAATTTCATGTCGCGTTAGTATGCGAATTCAACTGATTAGTATACACGTGAATTTTATTAGGAGTTATTATAATGGCAAGATAATTTATTTTTTCAAAGTTCTTTACGTCATCAGATAACTCTAATTGTGGTTGAATTATTGATTGAGATATTGTAAATTTATTTTGTTTCCTCTATCCAGTGGCGTAATTGAAATTTTCGCATAGCTTTATTAGCAGTGTTAACGTTTGGAATTTTAGAATTTCAGAATTTTAGAACCTTAAAATAATAGAATTTTGAAATTTTGGAAATCTGGAACTTTAGAATCTTACATTTTGAAATTTTTGAACTTTTAAACTTTAAAACTGTACAACCTTAGAATTTTGAAATTGGCAAACTTATTTTTATTTCAAGTGTCAGCAATAATGCTATAAAATTGGGACAATGGCAGATAATGGGTTAAGTTTGCGGCTAACATTCGTTTCGGTGTATTTTCTCGTTCAACTCATGCGGAAAGTTTCACGTGATCGGACGACATAAATCCAAGCTTTAAATCGCTGCAGGGAGATATGTGAACGCCTCGAGACACAAATGTCCCGCTCACTTTTTCTTTGCGAAACGCAGACTGCTGAGAGTGTTGCGCCAAACGAGGAAATGCAAGGCACGTGAACTAACCACGGATAGCCTTTTTCATCCAAGTCCTTCGTTGGATCTTGCTGAATTTCATGAACTTCCATCAACCTACTCTCGTACATTTCTTTTTTACTTTCACGGTGAAAGTGAAAGTTTTTTTCTAAATAGTTTATGTCAAAATGACAAATTTCAGATGTTTATTTCAGGAACTTTAAGGAAGAACTTATTAAAACGCTTTTTAAGAAACATGTTGCTTTTCATCAAAATGTAGATACCTCTTGTTTTTTATTTATTTCGTAGTATGAGGGTATAAAAGTCGAAAGATTGCTGAAAATTATCGACGATTATTTATTTTATTTTGGGGGAAGATTGCAACATTCAACGTGTTTTTTCCGAAATTTTCGTGCTTTGAATACTAGGTGGATTTTGAAACATAGAAAGTCTGACATGATTTGATGACATAAAAGTATCACGAAATAGAACTTATGACATATCAATTTACAGTTTAAAGCTTAAAGAAAATCACTGTATAAACGTTTCATTAATATTTTTTACACGATTTCATTTAACGGTACTCATCTCTTAATGAACACAGACAGGGCTATTTTTAAGCAATTTTTGGAGGATATAAATGGACTGTTGCACGCTATAATCCTTAACGAATGAATTCTTTATTCGAAATTTCAGACACGAACAATGACGTTCGAGTATTGGTGTTGTGACACTCGCAAGATTTTGGTGAGAAACGTTTACTACCTCCGAATCACGTTTGGAATACATAAATAATGTATTCCTAATTTCAAATTAAAACGACGCGACGTTAATAAATGAGGATTATTTTTTGATCTGAAGGAAATGATTTTTTATCAAAGTCAGACTGAGTATTCATATTTTTAAGTATTAATTTCAATGTCAATAGTATTCATGACGTTTGCGATATGATTGCGTTTAGTCATGATTTCATGGTTCTTTAAATGGAATAAAGCCGATTTCGATTAACTAAATTGTATCCTTTAATTCGGCATTTCTCAACCCTTCTATAAATGCATGCTACCAAAAATGGTAATGTCCCGAGTCCGTCACCCTTCTCTCTAGGTGTCCCAGGGGAGAATGACAATGTGTGGAGTGTGGAGAAGGGATCCTATAAATATAGGTCTCTCGCCTCCCACCACTTGCGCGTAAACATTTACGCGGGAAACTTGAATTGATATTTCTTTATTATCCGTATTTCTCTGCTATATACTAAATTTTGTAATGTTTAATAATTGAAGATTATATTACTATCTTGTCTAAATTATAATACTTTTGATATTAATATTGTCAAAATGAAAATTTTGAGAATATCTGCTTCTCTTATATTCACTCGCGGGAAATATACAGCTTTTCCTCTGAAATAGATAGGTACTTTTAGAACACTGGCAACCGCGTTTCTAATAGTATGAATTCACCCTAATGTTTCTTTAAACATGTTCTACTTGGGTATGCAATATTATGGTGGTGTAGAGCAGCATTTGTGAGACCACTCCTTATTGCGGACGTTATGGAATGGCAACTTGGTAAACTCAGTAGTCCTTGAAGTAGTACTAGCAGAAATTTCGGCCTCTTCCGTTAACCCGGTTTCCTAGTAATTCATATTTTGTAAACAGGTCATAAATGTTATTTTTAAACAAGTGTAATTGCTAAAGAAATCACTGCAGAATTTTAAAAACACGTGTGCTCTGACTTACTTAAATTTTCAATTAATAATTTAGATATTAGACGAAAGATGAAATAGATTTACCTAGTCAATTTTTAATAAAAATTAATTTTCCCAAATTATATTAGTAATAATTTATCAGACAAATTTTTATTATGTATATTGCAAACCCTTGTCAAAACTGGCAATTTTCTATTTTTACAGACGAAGAGTACCTTTCATAGAAAACTGTTTTATATAAAATCTAGTAGTTCATACTCTCATGTTATTTTATTATTAAAGTGTATCGAGATAGCGGCACGCGATTCAAGGATTGCTCGCGCTTTTTACTGCAAACGCGCGGATTATACGCGTTGCTGCAATATCTTGGGAGAATACGAGTGAAAGGAACAGCTTATGAACTCACGATACTTCTGCCAACAGTGGTTCCGTTTTATCAATTTATATTAAACATTTCTAAGAAGACAGTGAATGAAACTAATGAATGTACTAAATTATTTTATGAAGATGGAAGAAATATAAAAGTGAATACAAATGTACAAGACTAAACACAAGCAATCTAATAATTTCTTTGTAATAGGCTTTGTGTTTCTTATGAAATCATAAATAATATTATAGACAAAATTCCTTCCGGATAAAAATATTACCTAAAGAAATGTTCAATACCTTCAGTTAGCTGCAATCAACGTGTAAAATAAAAAGTAATAATTAAAAAAAAAAATTATATCTATAATTACAAAGAAATATATTGGTATCGCTTTGGAATTTAACGAATCGATCTAGAATTATGAATTCCAGTCATGCCCGTTAAGCACCCAAGCTGGAACGGGTATTGCCTTTTACCATTGTTTCACGCTAAACGATTACCAACGCTATTGTTATGTAATAATTTCGTTACCTCATTTAATGGTGCACGATTTGATATGTGTGCGTGATGAGACAGTGCATCGTTCGAGACCCCATTCATGTACCCTAAGGACGTATTTACAAACGTATACCAAAAATGGTTCTACACAAGATGTCTAAAAAAGGCTACGGAAATAACATGAAGTAGATACTTACTTCATGTTGTAACAAAATAAACAGTCCTTCAGTCCTTTGCAATCAGCAGTTCCAATTTCAAGATACGGCTAATTAAAATTGGACGATTCGACTTCCATGTCATTTTTTTAATTTTGATAAAATTTCAATGGGGTGGTTTATTTATACAATAGTTATTTTTATACTATTTCTGCGACTGACGTTATTTCCTTGGCTCTTTATAATTCTCGATTTCGAATAATATTTCCTCTAGTAGGTTCCTAGCGACAATTATTGCACAAAAATCATTATGTTAATGATGAGAGCTGTGAAGCGTAGAGCGTTGGTGGAGTACGTTCTGACGAATCGTTTATTTATGCATTCACCATGATTACTTTCTTAGAATTCTCCATTACCACCTTTGTGTTTGCGTATGATAACCGTACCGTGAATAGGTGTTTAATATTTTTGTCACTTGTAAAAGTTGAATTTCAATCATGACTAATTTTAGACGTAGGCTTATGTATTGCATAATCTTCACTTTAATTTTTATTTTATTTCAGATTGAAAATTCATGTACTGACGAAGAATGAAATTAGGCTAATCACAATGACGTCGAAATATTTTCTTATTGCCATAACTATAATATACGGTGAGTATTCTATCATTTTTCTTTTTTATATTAAATTAGAGCATGAAAAGCGTAGTCAAGATAATCCAAATTTTAAAGAGACTTTTTTAAATTTTCTACACGAGAACTTTTAGAAATTGTATAGTATTTGTTTCAATATTTGAGCGTAGACACGGATTTCATTAAAAACAAAAGGAAAAAACATTGGTTTTTACTATGTTTTGTTTTTTATTCCAAATTTATTAGTCTGACGCCTACATTATTTAAAGTAAAAATACTTGAAATCTGACACCCGTATTCGAACTGAATTAATTTCATTACAATTTATTACAAGAGTTATACTAAGAGCCTATATCGTCAAAACATGTTTTGATGACTCACAATCAGTGAATAATTATTTTTTCAAATTGCTGATTTTAGAAAAGCAGGTAATTAGAATGGAATATTTTAGTTAGAATAGTAGAATATTAGGCTGTTAGAATTATTAGAATGTTAAATTATTAGAACTATTAGAATATCAAACTATTAGAATTGGTATTAGAACCATTAGAGTATTAGGCTATTAGAATCATTAAATTATTAGACTATTAAACTATTAGAATTATTAGAATATTAGAATATAATAAAAACAATATAGCAATTTATATAAAAATAACCAGTCAAAGATGTGTTAGAAAACGACAATGTACAAATGTAAAAAAATAAAACATTCAAATGTTTCTTTGAATCTCTGTAAAAAACTATTTCTTAAAAGAAACCGCTCGAACTCATATATCCAATAATGCCAAGTGCTGATCAAAGGTTTCAGTAGAAATGCTTAAGGCGTTTCTTTATTACCAAATGGCTACTCTTTCCCACACTTGCCACGTACAGATGTACTACGTGTGTACACGTACATTTCTGCAACGTAAAAGAACTTTAATTTGTAAGCAAGGCTGTATACACATCATTACAAGATCGATCACTGAAAAATCCCGACACACCTTTCGTTTTCGAAATCTACACTTTTTGTTTGTCGAGGACATCTATTTCCGTTTCAAACCAATGTTCTTAATTACATTCAATAATTCACAATTCGTAATTTAAGAAATGTGATTCAGTACTATTTTATTTTGTATCTTCTTCTTTTCTAAAGAAAAATAAACTTTAATTGCTCCAAATTAGTGGTGAAATCATAATTGTCAAATAGGAGGATTTTTTAAACCCTTATTAGTATGGAGCTAATATTGATTTTCTACTGATTTTCTATCAATTTCCTATGTCATTTTCTATTGGTTTTGTATTGATTTCCCATTGATTTGCCATTGATTTCCTATTGATTTTTTATTGATACCCTATGTGATTTCCAATTGATTTTCTATTAATACTATTATTATTTCTAACAACATTTTCCAAGATTCTCGAAAATATTTCGGTATTTATTAAAAAACGGAAGAGTTTCCCTTAATTGCTTCCTACCTATATCAAACAAACACACCTTTATGATACCTTCTATCAAAATTACATGTTCTAACGTTACGCAGTCTTGAACGTAATAAAGTTACATAAAGAAGTTACGCTTTATTGTACTTCTCCGAACAGTCAATAATTTACGATTGAAAAATAAGTACCTTTTAAAGAATGACTTCGTTTCACTTTTAGTTACAGAATGCTCGGCCCAAGTTTACAAGAGTCACTCGGTCGAGACCGCTGTAGTAATCAAACCGGCGGTTGTAAACGATAATTTTATTACACAAACGGTGTACGGATTCTTGGATTTCACCACCACGATTGGAAACACGGTGATGGTGTTCAGCCCGCAAAGCGAGCCAACAGGTATTCATTTTCTTTATAAGATATGCTGCTCGTTCTTCTCGAGCATCTTTTAATTTAAGCTATGCGACGTCCTGCGTTTTCGCCAACGCAAAAAGGAGTAAATTATCATGCTCATGGAGCAATACAATAAATTGAAACGACGGGGGAGAATTTTAAGCAGCCTCGTTCCCGATCCGTACATATTCATCGAAATCTCTGAAGATACTATAATTAACGTTAATTTCATCGAAGCTCAAAGTACCATACAGTGATATCACAAAGTTCTCTCAGGAGATATAATTTGAATAATAATTGTATTTTAACATACCGTCTGGTGCAAGTGAAAATAGACGAGTATGGTCAGACGTACCAAAACTTTAGTCAAGTCATTAAGGATATGAATAGTTGCACTAGCATTAATACTGGATATACTAATTATAGCGATTGAAAACTTTACATTTGCAATTTTAATATTAATTAGTCAAACTAATTATGCAAGGTAGTAAATTGGAAGCTAGAAATTTGAAATTTGGAAATCAATTAAGTATACTAATTATGCATGGCAGCAAATGGAAAGCTTGAAGTTTGGTAATTAATTAATTATCTTGAGTAGGATAGCAAATTGAAAGCTTGAAAATTAACTAGTTATATTAATAATGCGGGGTACATAAAAAGAACCTTGAAATAAAAAGGACGTTATTCAAGAGCAAACGCCTGGAATAATTTTGGTTGGGCCTTGACTATTATAATCTGATCCTATTTGTCACCTTATTGTTCCTTTGCAATCAATAACGCAAGGGTACCTATTGTTCGACGTCTATCTTTGATTTTTGGATCATTTACACGATAATGTATTCGAACCTTGGCTGGGTATATTCGAATATAAGAACAGGGATTAGGGATAGAGGTCAATGGAACAATGAAATCTCTTTGACCATGGATGTAACATTGATTAATCCCTGTATTCGTTTATTTTAGTCCTGGTTATTGTTAAGATTTCCTAACGAAATTAAAACAAAACAAAAATTAGAAAATATCAGCACACTGATATAATCAACAATTTAATAAATTTTAATTTAAAAGATTGCATAATATCTTTATATAATTATGAATTATGCCATACCTACAAAATAATATTTGAAGCTTTAAAAAGCTTTAAAGAATCATCTGAAAATTACGTAGTTATAATTGATCATTGATCCCGTCTTCCAGGCGGTGAAAAGGGAAAGAAAAGCAGCGGTCCGATTATACAAACGAAACCGAGTGAAACACAGGAAAAAGCAATTCCTAATATTCAACCAAGCAAAACACACAAAACGAATTCCGAAGAAGAAACGAAAAAACAGGCAAAAGGATCGAATGTTGTAAATTCCGTCATCGAACAGAATGTTATTAATTCCTCTGAAGATAATGGAATACGTTCTCCAAAGAGTCAGGTGAGATAAACTAACGAGTGTTTTCAAAGAATTACTAATAGACAGAGATACATCATTAACAGATAAAACGCAGTTTAATGGGGTATAATGGTAGGAATAATGAGGTAGGTTGTTGAAACATAGATATTCTGATATAAATTGATGACACAAAAGTATGACAAAACACCACTTATTATACATCAAATTAAAGCTTAAAATTTTATTGAAATTACTATACAAACGACTCATCGGTATTGTTAATGTAAAATGACTGATTCGTCATTGTAGCAGACAGAGAGCAGAATAAACTTTGTATATTGTTCTTTTACGGGTGACACTGATTTTATGACATAAAAGTATCACAAAATATCACTTATACTACATTAATTTAATGCTTAAAGTTAAATGAAAATCATTGCATAAACGTTTTACCAAATGAAGAATTATTTGCCGGAAGAAACAGTGTGTTATTGAAAGTTAGAACATACTTGCGTCCACTGAACAAGGTTTAACATAAATAATTGATTTCAGGAATTAGAATTCGAATTCTGATGTTAGATAATTGCAAAAAAAGCAATTAAGAATTTATATGATCCGTGAAGTTGAAATATTTATGTCTTCGAGCAGGAAGTAGGATACTTTCCCTTTCGAGAAGCTAACTTTTCCGGTTTAAGTCGTCTGTTCGTATTTATCTACCTACGTGTATACGAGCACATACACACCAAAGAAGAGATTTCTACTTTCAAACGTTCACGTAAACTCCAGTTAAACGATTATTTTTCGATCGTTTATCGCCTGTTATTCAACAATATTTTCTACCAATTTTATACCAATTCCAACCATCCCTGTCAATGTCATCAATTAATTATAATAAAAAGCAGTAATTACAATAATCTGGTACATCTACTTAAAAGTATTGCTCATATTTTTTAAAATAATCAGAAATTGTTTGAAAATACTCAGTCAAATTCAAACACACTTGCAACATACTTGGATCCAATCTGTACAGATAACACATATTAACATAAGTCCCACCAAAGTGGTACTCAAATATTGAAAGAAACTTGCATAAATCTTTGTTTTATTATAAGTAATGTCTCTTACAGGAACCGAACACTCATACGCAGGTAGTAACAAAGAGTCCTGTAATATCCTCGCAAGTGCAAGTAAAATCGAAGGACGAGACGCCTGGGGTTAAGAACAATCTCGCTGAACCTGAATACGACTTCCTGTCCAAGCAACCTGCCGAAGTAATCGACGAAACGTACAAGGTACAAAAAGACGGCCAATTTCTTCCAAAATAATTATAGAAATTAATTTCTCTTGAAACAGAATAATTTATGTCTTTGATTGCACTTCAGAGTTTCTTCAATTTTTCTTGCACTCTTCTTCTTCTTTCTTCTTAAACTAATTTATGTTATTCTATAAACATAGTATTCTTTAATGCTATAATAATCAAATGCGACAGAACTAATTAATCTAAATTTAAATTTAAGTCATTAATTCTCAGAAATTAAAAAAAGATTTTACAAAAGCAAAAATTTATAATAACAAATAAACCACATGAAAATTAAGGGAAAAAATCAACTTTGGATATTAATGGGTTCAATTCTTTTTTTAATTTGTTATTAAGAAATATTAGTTTTACAAAGTGTATATAAGTAAAGTGGTACGGTACCATGGAAAAAACTATCTCTTCTAAACCATTGATCAATGATGCAATTTCACACTTGTTAACTTTTCTCTCATTGCATATGATTAACATTGACACGGATTGTTCTACAGCTGCATGTAAATATGAGACAAGACGACTGAACCAGAAAATCTAGTTTTCTGCTTGGCGAATTAATACATTCTGATGTATTTGCCCTGAAAAGCAGTGTTTTACTCAAGAGGAAGGTCAAAACTCTATCCAAGCATTACAAACAACATTCCCTGAAAGATAATTGAATATTCATACATTCCCATTCAAAAGTCTAAGGACGTTTACCTATTTTCATTATCTTTAATTATCTAATGTAAATGATTTAAATTATATATTGTTTTATTTCTTTGTATATTTAGAGACATTTGTACATACAATATTAGTTGTTTAATTCTTCAAATGGTTTGGAAAATGAAAAATATATCTAAAACGACAGAAACAAATTCTTTAAATAGACATATTAATTAATGTAGAAATAATTATTTTGTTAAGGTTTTATAAAGTTTTGGTATGGGTCCTATGAAAGATTCTTAAAAAATGTTTGAAAATTTAAAGAGGAATGCTAGTGGCCCTTTTTAACGCTCCCAAGTGTCGAGAAGAAGACACTTACAATTAGATTTAAAATTAAATGTCATCATCAAACTCATCACAGATACAGTTCGTTGATCTGAGATTTACACTTCAAGTTTACTCGGCTAACAATCTATTTGTCGAAGACTCACTGTTGATTTTTCAGATTCACATCAATCAGTTACCTCTTGCAAAATTATGGAAATCTGTACTCGTTTCCCTAAAAGTAAACAGATGCTCATAGCAGTAACATTATAAATAAACAAAAATCGTTAAACATTCCTGTCATATTGATTTATGAAAAGCAAAAATTCGTTCTATTTTTACAGTTGATTAATCTGAGACCTTCCTCGAAAGCGCATCCAAAGCCGAGGCCTACAGGTCGAAGAGAAAAAGAGAATCCAACCGGGTTGGTCACGAAGCTCGGTGGTACGATCGTTAAAGAAGGATTAACCACCGTCCACGAGACCAGCGTAATTGGAACCTACATAAACGGGAAATACGCTCAGGTGCTTCAAAGCTCGTCAAGAATTCTTTCTGGCACGCCACCGATTCCCGAAGGTAAGATTCGTCCGTCTAGCACTCAACGGATCTTGAAGACAATTGGACCGCAACAAGGAAAGCTGAAACCGCAATTGGAACCCACACCAACGAATCAACAAGAAGAATCATCGTTACCCTTAGAAGTTCTGTTTAGTGCTCCAGGTATAATAAAGACGATGGTCATCAGTGACTCACATTGTACATTCAATAAATTAAAATCTCAAAGTATTTATTGAATTTCGAATTAGAAATCTAGATTTCATTTAACACTAGAGCTACTGGCGTTCAATGTACACTGACTGTTAAATTGGAAATAAAATAAAAAAATAAATATACAAAGAGTGAAACATAAGCCAGTATACAATAATTCTTTAAAACATTTTAATGAATTTTATAATTTAAAATAAGAAACCTGAAACAAGTCATTTTGAGCCCTTTGGTAGTTCTAGTATTAAAAATCAAAATTTAACGTTACCTATTTTAATATTTCATTCGAAAAAAATTGATGTAATCTATGTTATTAAAGAAAATAATTTCATGATGTTCCTTATCAAAGGTAAAATTGTTGTCCAATATAATACACAGTATACAAAATGTAAATGTAGCAGGATATTGATGATACTTTTTATTGCCAGGATCTACAGTAAGAAGTACACGAAAGAATAACAGTCCCAATCTACCCCGTCCAAAATTCCGCAATAAGGTGAACGAGGATTATGACAGTGGCGAGGTGCAACAACCCAAACAGAATAAAAACCGAAGTAGCACAACAGCGAGACCAAGTTTCAAGTAAGTGCAATAAAATAAAATACAATGTTAAGTGTATAGTAATTAGCATATTTGCTATATTTGATTTTTAATTTAACCAGAAACCGAAGTCCTCCAACAACAACGACAGAGCCTCCGGTGACTCGTCGTCGCAGTGGTTTCCGGCCGAGCAATCAACCGAATTTACCTTCTAAACAGAGCAATAAGAGTAAAAACGAGCAACAACCGGTCAGTCCCAACCCTGTACCAAAATTGAAGCTACCCCGAACTCAAGGACGTTGGTCCTATAAGACAACCCCTAAACCGAGAATAATCATTCGAAAACAGATAGATGTCGAAGACGACCCACGTTCGACTCCAGAAACTAGTACAACCGAAGGTCCATTGAATGTCGACGATAATAAATCAACGACAACCTCAGTCTCTACGTCTACTACATCCGCGGTCACGACAGGTCAGGCAGTTAACGCCCAGAGAAAGATAGAAGTGGCAGCTGACGAAGAGTTAGATCCAAGCGAAAGCGAAGATGTTGCCAGCGTCAGCGTCCAAGATCAACCGCATGCCGAACAGATCCTCCCTGTCGAAACGATCAATGTTGAAATTTCAACAGCTGCCGATCTGAGCAACGCTTATTTCGAAATTGCTACCATTAAGTCACCGTACACTTTCCAGGTCGGAACCTTAAGAAACACCAGATACGTTACAGTGACATCGACTGCGAAGAAATCATTCTCAACAATAGATCCATCTACCACGATATCACCGACTGAACCTCTGACAGAGAATCTCCTAGCAAACACAGCAGCTGCTTACGAAACAACATTGCCATTAGACTCAGCAGTGGCGACCCTCCCAGCTATATCTCTAGAATCTGGCCAAGCTACCCCTCCCTTAGAAACTTTAACAGAGACATTCTCCACAACTCAGACTCTCCTGAAGACTCACCTGCTCCCAGTGATCTATAATGGAAATACGACCAAATTGACTCTAGTGCAGACCTACAACATTGCTCGTGTGGTCACTGCTACAAAGACTTTGCCACCGATGGACATCTATCAGTTCATCCCTAGCAAAGCGTTGAACGAATTCAATTCGAAGCTGGATGAAGCTGGTAGCGAGCTTCATCTAGAGCTAGATGTCGGAGACGAAGACAGGGACGACGATGATATCCCCAAAAGAGTAGTAGCTCCAAGTAACGATCAAGGGGATTCCGATCTAGAGCCATTCAAATCTATCTCAGTCTCAAAGGTGAAGTCCGATTCTGCGGTCAGTAGTTCGGCAGAACCTCAATTGACTGCCGATCAACTGGCTCTGTTGAAATACTTTGGTCAACAACAGCCACAGGTGATCACCACGTCGCGGCCGGTCGTTGTCCTAGAGACTGTCTACGAGTCTCACGTAATTCCAGTTGTGAATAACGGGAACACGCTCTATTCGACGTTATCCAGGCCAGTCGGTACCGTGCCGCGGACGTCTTATGAATACGGAACGTCCACAATTGCACCAGTTCTCCAGCCGCAATTACCGCCGCAACTGCCCCCGCAACTGCCCCCGCAACTGCCTCCGCAATTGCCTCTATTTCCGCAACAGCCGCAGTTCACGGTGACGAGTAGCCCTCTGGTCACGCAAACCCTGGCCACCGTATCCGATTCGAGAATACTGAAATTAACATTCGGAGCGAAAACCGCCTACACCACCTTGTACTCCAGCAGAGTAGTACCGACGGAGATCACCACCTACGTCACGAATACCGTACCTGTGCAACCAACCGTCCCAGCTTTCCCGGGTTATTATCCTCCACCGGTTGCTTATCCACCTTTCCCTTTCGTAGGATAAACTTTCCTTAATTAGCTCTAAGCAGGCGATTAAACGAGCTGATCTTAACGTATTGAAGACTGGAGAACGTTGGTTTTTCCAGTTCTATCAGGTGGACAAGAAGTATTTGAAAACTAAGACAAAGTGGATGATGATGGTAGATATTATTTGGTTTTACAATAGTAAGCTTCTATGATTCGCTCAGAATTTTAGAATGTAATCTTATTTAATGTATTTAAAGCTTAGTACTTAGTGTTAGCGTTTAAGGTAACGTTCTGCAATTATTAAGGAGTAGAAAGTGGAAACGTCATTTCTGTCATTCTTGTCACTGATCAGTACGCAGGAAATGGTTTCGTGTTCGCTGTTCTGGTCTGCAATGTGTTAAGGCTTATTTTGTTCATGCATTATGATGCGACATGCCATGATCAAACGTTCAAGAAATCTAATTAAACATTTTCCTCAATATTCTGTGCATTAGATGAAGCAAGATATATTTTTTACCGGAAAATAGTGTGTATATTTTATACACTGATAAAGACTGATTAAGTTTAAATAAAAACTGTACAAGTCATGGCACTATTTTAATAAATATATAAAATGTTACATATTTCTTGGACGATTTATTGAACGCTTGATACGTGGCATGCCATGTTATGGCACATGAGCGAATGAAATCAAACAAAAAAGATTACAAATGATACCGAGGTGCATTTTTAATTGTGTTCAAGTTTTTTTTTTAATGAATTTTTTTGAAGTTTCCAGTATTTTAATTAAAACGTATGAATATGTAGTTATCACTGATGTGTACATTTAAAAATTTTGTATAATAGATATTGAGAAAGGTACTTCTGTCACATTCCAATTTTGAAAGAAATCTAATAGCTGTGACGTTAAGTGCAAATGTACATGCAAGTAGATTTAACGAGGCTCAATATAATCGTAAGTATTTTTTTTATCATTCTTTACAATACAGTTTGATAAAGTTTCAAGTAATATAATAAATAAAAAAATTTGATTTTACAGTTATTTAAATGTAGTGACTTAAATATCACTATTCTCTATATAATCATACATGTGAAAACAATAGAATCTTCAAATTTTATTTAAAATTTAATTGCCCGATATAAAATGAAATTTAATGTACATGATGTAAATAATTTTTCTTTTAAATCATTTTGCCAGAACGTCTAAGATATTAATCTCATTTTGCATTAAAAATAATTATTCTATGTATGGTTTATTATTTGTTTTTGTTTTATCAGTAACTCTGAAATTAAATACATGCAGTCATTTGTAAGCATATTAAATTCATTTCAAACACTGTAATAACTGTGCTGCTTGAATTATGATTATAAGCAATAAAATACAAATATTTGATAGATGTGTACTAATGCACATAATGTACAGCATTAGAAATAATCAAGGATCTTATAAAAAGAAAAGGTTTCACATTTCTGCTTACAATTGCATGTTAACGACGATTGTAAATTGGTTAATGAAAAGAAAATTATTGTACATAAATTAATGACTATTATATACAGTACTATGTATGTATATTGAGAATTTTGTAAATAAAATATTTAAAAATAATAGATTTTTTTTATTCTATTATATTTCTCTATTTTTATAAAGTTAAGAGATATGTGTAAAATAAAATAAAAAGTAAAGAGATTCAATTAATAAAATTAAATTGATCTTTATTTAAACTGTAGATAATAATTAAGAAAACATTCAAATAATTCAAACGACTGTTTCAAATATGTATAAATAAGACTTATTTAAAGTGAATGATAATTTGTGTCAAATTATTGATTATCGGTAGTTGAAAAGTTTATACGTGTATAAATATATTCTAAGGTGAATCATATTGTCCAGTTGATAAAAAATAATAATGACATCCTTTTTTAAATTATTTAATATTAATTACTAATTATTGTAAGATACCCTAAATTTATAAAAACACTAATTGCTAAAATCCTAAAATGGAAAAAATATGCAAATAAAAAGAAATTTTAATAATTACTAATAATAATTATTAATAATTTCAATTATTTTTTCTTTGGAATGATGAAATGTTAATGGATATCCTATGACTTATGAAACAAATATCTGTTTACAAATGAAGATAAGAGCTCTAAACGATAAATGTATTATTATTCCAATATTTCATATAAAAAAGCAGTTTGTTTCCATTATATGATGTAGCTCTATGTATGCAATATTAAATGCTAATGTCATTTAACGAAGTTTTACATTTCGTAAAACATATTACTCGTTCAGTACTCTAAAAATCTAGCACGGAAGCTATTGAAAACGTTCTAAACTTAGAACAACCATGTAGGTATCAGACTACAATGTTTACAGGCATCACCAGAGAAATTCTTCTGTACCAAGACTAAAAATACGTTCAGTATATTGAGAAGTTGAGTTCGTTTGAAGAATTGAAAATATACCATAATTGCATTGCACATAAAAAACTCAATAAATTTATAAATAAAATTATGAATGTATTCTACATTTTTCCTTCAAATATTGGCGTAACTAGGATTTTTTCTGGGGTGGGCCAAGTCCTATAAAAATTGTTACATTTTGTAATTCTGAAAATTCATTTTGAAATTCTAGAATTCTGGAATTGTAGAATCTGGAAGTTTTAAAATGATAAGCACCCTGGCTCTTACCTAGTTACGCCAATACCCTCAAACGAATGTTATTATTTTTGCCACATTCTCTTTTATATAAATTCCAATTCATAAGGTGAGTACTTTAATAAATCTCAATGAAACATAAAGTAACTCAGGAACCAATGAAAATTAACGTTTATATGATACTACAAGTTGTTCTTCCTTTTTAATAGCTCGGATAAGAGTTAAGCTGAGCGCGGCTATTACTACCTGCAAAATTAAATACATCATTAAATAATAAACTACATTTGAACAAATGACAATAAACAATTGTAGAAGATGTTCTAATATAGAATAGTCGATATAGGAAAAATATTTGAGGTCTTACATGCAATAGACACAAAGTCAATGACAAACCGGCCACCCAACCCGATCTGGCTTCCAAAAACCATGAAATCTCTTCGACGCATCCATGAAAATAGGCATTTCCAGTAACAGAATTTCTACATTCAGTAGGTAATGGTTTCCTCAGGGTCAAATAATCCATGGGTCCATCGGCACCACAGCAACCGATCTATTTTAAAATCTCTTCGTTAACTTTATCTCTGGTTACTTCAGTACGTAACAGAGGCGTTATATAAAAAAAAATCTGATTACTCTTATCATAGTGCATATTATGGAGAATCACTTCAATAAATACTGTATCAATTTCTATGCTATTATCAATGTTCCAAAGAATTAAATTCAATATTAATTGCTCCAAATTAAAGAAGTTTAACTTAAGTTTACATGTATAATTATGATACCATTGCCAGAGCCGGATTAAGGAGAAATCTAAGGAGGGCTGCAGCCCCAGGTTTCATTCTTTAGTAAACCCCCTTCTAAGTCTTCCATTTATTATGTCAAAAAATATTTAATTAAATTTTCTTACTCTTGCCCTTGTTATTTAATTTTATTCAGAATAAATTTCAATGTTTGAACCAAAGGAAGCCCTCAAAAGTTTGATAGCCAGGGGTTCCAGAAATCTTAATCCGGTCTTGATTATTGCAACAAATGCATCATCTTACACTTTCTTGAATCAATTGCAAAATATATGTCGCCCTTCCATCGTGGGATCTGCTGATGAGATCAGTCATAGATTGTCGTATGAGCGGCTGAATTTTGCTATCGTAGGTGGAATAATCGAGAAGAATTGCCGTTCCTACGAGGCCGAGGACGTAAGAAGCTAATTGCAGGCCTACATACTGAAAGAATCAACCCAATTAAGATTTACAACCGGTTAGTCTGTTTGCAATCAAAAAGTTCATACAACAAATTTTGTATAAATAAATACGGAAAATGAATTGTTGCATGTTGGAATAATTTAGATAAATAATCCTTAAGACAATTTGACAGTTACTTTCTAAAATGATAATTATGATAATTGAACAATTATATCTTACGACATAGAGACCAAGGATGTGCTCCATCAGAGCAACGGCGCAACCGAGCAGTGTAATAATTATAATAAATATCGAGGCTGCAAGTAAAATGTAACCTCCGATATAAAATTCATACATATTAAGGAAATCGACCCATTCCTCAAAACTTGGATCCAGCCTCAGCCACATGCATAAGCCGAATAATGCACTGCCCAGTAACTAAAAGACAAATAGAAAATTTCTATTTTCAAATTTTTTTAAAATAACATTTTTTATTTCAACAATCTAATACGGTGTTATTTAAAGTTTTAATCAATGTATTAATTATATTTTATTTGTTAAATTTTGATTGTGAAACAATCAAAACCATAAAAATAATGAATCTCAGATTTCTTATTTTTAATTACAGAAATTATCATCATTTTGTCGAATTTTATGCTATCTTGCCTTGACTCATTTATTTTTTAATTTATTTCTAATTTAAAAATAGGTATATATTCAACATTAATTGTTCCAGTATTAATATTGATTAGAGTTCTACATTGAAAAGCAATTAATGAAGGCATACTATCAAAACGAGTAAAACTACGTACGAGAACGTAAAAAAATGCGATAGTGCGTGTAATTTATCGCACGCTTTAATTCTTAACTTTTAGTTTTCAACTCCTCGATTCGTTTAAGTCACGTACTCGTCACACTGATAAAAGCAGATATGATTAGTACGCAATGTGAACTGACTCACATTGATTCGAGCGTAACGAGGATGTTATGTTGCAATAAGAAACATTTCAATCTAAATTGCCTGTGCAAACACATTTGCATTTTGCTCCATTAACAACCACAAAAGAACGAGTTACTCTTTACAGAAGCAATTGCAATAAAAACAAAAAGAAATTTCATCAAAATATCAATTTTCTACGTAATTTAGGAAATCCGTGTTACGGCCTACTAATTCATCAAAATAATAAAATCAAATATTAAAAACAAAAATTATAGAAAGTAGATTGTAATAATTTTACTAAATCTAAATCTGCTTTATCCGATTTTCAAAATGATGCACGTTTTAATTCCTATATAGTATTATTGATTATAACACAACATTATATCATCAATTGAACACAATTATGGTTGTTCCTATTTTGTTCTGCTTACCCATATGATGGCATTCAAACAGAAGATGGTAAATTTTATACACTGAATTCGTTGCTCTAATTTCGGTCCGTTTTTACCAGCCATCGTTCAACGATTGATTTCGTATCCACACTATGTATACCTTAGATAATATTATAAACACGATTAAACTTTCGTTTTTATTCTGCAAGATCAATTAATAAAAACGGTGACACCGTGACTACGGACGTATACAACAGTGGATACCTGAATCTTCCACCCAACATTCTCTTTATCACCGACAAATATAAGATAACTGGATAAGCACGTCCTAGATAAAAGAGTCAGTGCAAATGACTCATTCATTTTACAGAAAATCATGATTAAAGGCAAAACTCATAGAAGAAAATCATTTGCCATGGTTTTATTTCCATACACATATTATTCATATCATATAATCAGATAATGATAAGTAGACAACTGACGTTCATTTAAATAACATTTTTTCATTAATACTTCGATTGTTGCACATTTTACGGAATGTCTACTTTTAAATTCTTTTTTACGCCTAACAGATGATTACTAATTGTATTGCATTTGACAGCATGTAATTTTCATTAGTCATTAGCAATTGATAGAATGTTTTTGTAATATTAAATACGTAATACTAGTTATTAATTAGTTATTATAAATTTAATAAAAACAAATCTGTCGACAGTACTTATAAGTAAACCATTTGTTTCCAATCAACGAAATTTTAGCTTTAACTTGGTAATGCCCCACAGAAAATTTAGTCTAAAATTAGAACTAAGGTTCCGATTACATATACAGGGTATCCCACGCATCTGGACCAAGCTATAACTCTAAAACAGTAGAAGATAGAAAAAGTTTTATTAGGCAAAATTAAATGTCTCATGGAGCATCACGTGATCTACATATATCGGTTCCGGAAGTGGAGGCGCTTCAAAGAATTTAAAGATATGTACTTTTGTTCTTTTGATATCATCTAATTCTTCATAATGAAATTATTTTCTATCTTCCATCGTTTTAAAATCATAGCTTCATGAGAGACACTCTGTATACACACCGCGAGTACATTGACTTTTCCAACTACACAGATGACAGTAAATGAACTGAATTAATTATTTAACCACACGTTGAGTGCTTAGCTTCTATAAAGTAATAAACACACGTATTTCTTTGTTGATTAAAATTATTTTATTAACATAAATCATAATGTCTTTTATGTTATATTACGAATATCATTACAATTAAAATTGATTAAATAAAAGCTTTTCAATTTATTTTGATTAACTCAACTATCTTATATATAAGATCATTCGCAAAGAAAGAAAAGTAACTGTTTTGATCCATTGAATTATTCTATCACTATGTACGATTTTTGTTAAATAATAAAGAATTTTATTGTTTGTATCGAAGTTTTGATGCGTTATCATCTGTATACAAATATCTTGTCGATAATCACGTGGACCGGTCATACATAATTATATGCCGGTTGATTTGATACTGTTCATCCATCCAACATCCTATGAGCGTAATTCGGTCACAATGTTTGCGATATGGAGCAAAAAGCATTTCAGCATCAGCATCAGAAATGGTTCTGAAACGAAGATGTAGTTGGGAAGTGGGGATGCAGCGTCAAGTAAGACATTAAAGCTTATGCTGATGTGGAAGTTCCGAGTAAGCTGAACAGGAGCCGTTGAGGTTTTATTCGTTATTGTTAGAATTCGTTTCCTAGGAATCAAGATTTTAGTAATTTCACTCACGTATCGATTTTCGATACAATTTACTAGTCTTGCGTTTAAGTGAGTTATGCAAGAATTCATGCTTCTCCAAATTTTAATCGGTTTTTCTGTCTTGGCGACGGCAATCTCGAAGCCGGAAAACGAACACAAGACGCGAGTTGTTAATAAGGTTTGTCTGTCATTTTTAACAATTCGAAACTTTTCAAAAATCTTCTAACTGAAAAATATTCATATTCAATTTTTATATAAATAACTAGTTCATTAATAACAATACAGTTCTTCTATACATAACCTTGTATAAAATAAGATATATTTTATATTATAAAATTTTTGTAAGTAAGCTTTGTTTTAGGAGCCAAGCGAAGAGGAACATTATGTTCATTCTCAACATAATCCAGCATATGATCATGAAGCTTTCCTTGGTGAAGAATCAAAGACTTTTGATCAACTTACCCCTGAAGAAAGTACACGGAGATTAGGAATAATAGTTGATAAAATAGACAAGGATAAAGATGGTTATGTTACTGGTGAAGAGCTTAAAGACTGGATACTTTACACACAGCGACGTTACATACGTGACAATGTTGAACGCCAATGGAAATCACATAATCCTGAAGGAAAAGAGAAACTTCCATGGACAGAGTATTTGGCAATGGTGTATGGAGATATGGACGAACAGGAAGCAGAGAATCATGAGAAATCTAAAGAAAATACTTTTTCATATGTGGCTATGCTCAAGAAAGATCGTAGACGTTGGTCAACTGCAGATTTAGATGGTGATGATGCTCTTACAAAAGAAGAATTTGCTGCCTTCCTCCATGCAGAAGAAGCAGATCATATGAAAGATGTTGTAGTATTAGAAACTATGGAAGACATTGATAAAGATGGAGATGGCAAAATATCTCTTTCTGAATACATTGGTACATATTTTATCTATTGCTGTATTTAATTTATATCAACATATCAACTAAAATATTTTATTAGGAAAATTTATAATTATATTCCTTGTAAAAGATTACAAATATTCTTGTATTATAGGTGACATGTTTGAAGGTCCAGAAGGAGAAGAAGAACCTGAATGGGTAAAAAATGAAAAAGAACAGTTTTCTATGTATCGAGACAAGGATGGTGATGGCTTTTTAAACTTTGAAGAAGTAAATAATGTTATATAATACGCTGTAACAACATATTAAAATAACCAACTTAAACAAATTGTTTATTTTTAGGTCAAAACTTGGATTATTCCAGCTGACTTTGATCATGCAGAAGCTGAATCTCGACATTTAATATTTGAAGCAGACACGGACGCAGATCAAAAGCTTACAAAAGACGAAATATTAGAAAAATATGATATTTTCGTTGGTTCTCAAGCAACTGATTTTGGAGATGCATTAACTAGGCATGATGAATTTTAATAAAATTTCGTTATATATGATTCTTAAATAATTCCTTTATAAACGAACAAAAGGTACACTTAAAGTATCAGCAACAGAATGTCTAAAGCATTTAAAAAAGATATTTATCTTTATCAGTAGACTAAGAATCTTTTTATAATGGCTGATTTTTACTTACCTCATTATCTTTAGAAATATTATACCTTTAAAAAATGTAAATATATATTAACTTTGTAATAAATCACAAAAATTTTAAACTCTGATCTCATTAATGAAACACAATTTTTTTATGTGCTGTACATGTAGCACTAACCATAGGTGTTTCTTTCTTTTTCATATAGAGATAAATACAAGTGTACTTTATAGATTACAATTTACTGTAGTGCTATGCTTTAGGTGCAGTACCAGATAAGTGATAGATCACAGTTAGTTTTATCAGATAAGCTATATTTCTAGAGTGAAGCGATTGGGACCAAGTACTGAAGATTTCAAAATGATTAACATTATTCTGTGTGCAACCTTAATTATTTGTGCAGAATCTTTATCATTAGGTGATTATATTTTAAGTTTTCAGAATTTGAGATGATAATATTAACATCGTATTTATTATATACTTTACAGCTGAAACAGATATGCCAAAATGCTTTCAATATACTTGGATAGCACCTGCATTTAATATTAAACCAGATCATTTTAATTGTACAAAGCTTACAGATTTTCCTTGTATCGAGCCTCCAATTATAACAGGTAAAACTGTCTAGATTTATACAATATAGTAATATTAATCTTTGCAAAATTATTCTTATTTATACATAAGTTAAAACGTAATAATGTTAAAAAAGTAACAAATATTTAACATTTGTTTAAAATTTATAATTTTTACAATGAATGTTCTATTATTGATAACAAGTAAATGAATTAAAAAGTAATAAAATATTCCACAAACTTTAGATAAACCACCAGATCCGCATGAAATGGCAAATAATGAATCAATGTTATGTACTCTTACATCTTCAAATGTGTGTGTAAAATATACCTATAGGTACAACGGGGGTAGTAAGTATATTATAGTTTAAATATGCAATATCAAAATACACGAAACATATCTAAAAACATTCAACATTTTTACAGTTGCTAGAACATCATCATTCTGTGGCAAAGTGATCGAAGATGATCTGATACCTGTAACATCAGGATGTTATCAACAACGTGTTAGTAACTTTCTTAAACAATATATTAAAAAATGTTATATCTTTATACAACTTTGATGTATTCTGTATATTTTTCATATTGTGTATCAATTTTTCAAAAACATGAGAAGCTTATTAATTACAATTATTATTTAAGTTTGCATTCATTATATAATTTTATATGTCATTAAATTTGATTTACTATAAATTTAATTAGAATTATTGTTATGCAGGTAAACAGTCATGATCGTGAAGTATGTGCTTGCCAAACTAGAAGAGGAGAAGACCCTTGCAACATGTCAATACAAACGAAATATTCTATTTACTTAATCGTTACAGTGTTAATACTTGTTGTTATATATGATTTATGCTAACTATACACAATATAAAACATGTATGTATATTTATATTGTATTGGTTTTACTGTTTTTGCTAACGATAACTGTTAATAATAAATAAAATTTTAAATACACGTATTAACAACAGAACTTGATATATGTTATGCCTTTTTTGTGTAGGAAAAATAAGCTAAAAGTGAAAACTAAATACAAAATTTATCTACAAAATGATATTGTAATGTTTGTTCGTTCTTTAAATAAAATTATGCAAAACAATTAATTTATTTCAACAATTGAATTTCAGATATCTGATAAACTAGTGATAACAGGAATCACAGCCAATGTGCAGAAATACGATCCTAGTAAAAAACTGTTATCGTTACGTTTTGAGAAAAATAATCGTATTTAATTGTTTCAGTAAAATACGTATAAGATAAAATTGATAAGAATTTTGTAATAAAAATTATTTAAAGATTTTATAAATCAGAGCTATAACGGTTTAATAATTGGACATATCCCACATATCCGTATATCTAGGAACTTTTCGCAATAGTATTATATATATGTATATACTAAATGTTGTATGTATACAGAAAGAAAACTATTTATGTGATCCGTTTATGAATCTGCTGGTAGCACGGACCACGAATAAATAGCGACTGATTTTGTATTAACCGCATGGTTGTATAGTTTAAAATTGTATATATCACTTAAGTATGATATTTCTTGTACAATACATCAAGAAGCCGTTTATTTTGAATACAATGTAAATGAACATCTAAGGGTAATATGCTTGCCGACAAATGTAAGTCTTATATCGTTATATCTGTTATAATTTCACCAGAAAAAATTTATTTTAGGTTACAAAATTACCCAAAATTAATGTATGCGTTGTTAATAACTTAAGTTGAATTCATTTACGTTAACATTCTTTTCTTGCTATCTGAATGTTTGATATAACCCAGAAACGATTGTAACTTACCGATGTTTTTTTCTCAAAAACAAGAACTCGACGTCTTTTATAGTTTAACTTACTACTACTGACATAAATAATATTTATTCTTTTAAATTATCATGTTTTATAATAGGATAAATTAAAAATGGTTTGCTACATGTATGTATTTTTAAAATAATTGTATCTTTACTTTATAGAAATCTACCACAATATGGCAGAACAACAACAATCTCCACCTGACTTTAAACATATGTCCTTAGATAAAATTATTGAAGCCATGACTTCCGATCTAGAAAGTTCCAATGGTCATTATGTTCAGTTTGGTATAAATCCACAACAAACTGCAACCCACAATTGGGGAGATTATTCTTCAAGTCAAACAAGACATTATATTACTAGTCAGACACCACATACTAATCCATCCACAATACAACCAATGACTCCAATGGGTGGTCCTCTTTACATGCATGACATGTCAAATTACGAGTCTACGACAGATTCAATTTATTTTCCATCGCAAGCAGTAAATCATTTAGGTATAAATGAAAATAATGACCTGATTGGTACAATAGATGTTGGTGGAGGTAATTATATTAATGTAATCTATGGAAATGCTTCACAAATCATGGCAGAGCAGTGTCAACTTTCAAATATAACATCCTATAGAAACCAAAATATTATTGGTCGTGAATATGGTCTTTTTAACGATCGACACATTACGGTACCATCTGAATTACCACCTCAAAATTTTAATGGAAAACAATTAATTGACAATTTAGTTGGTAATTGGGTACCAAATCAATCTGGTACATATAGTCCCTTTGGTAGTTCGCCAAATGTAACTCCAGTACCACAGTTAAATGTAGATGTCAGAGAACCTGAAGGATTACCCAAAAATTCAACAGATTCTCAATATAAGAAACCTCGTGCGGTAGCAGAGGTAAAACCTATGCGACCTTCTTATTCTGATGTATTAACAAAATCTGCTCCAGCACCTCCATCTCCTCTAACTGTTCAATCTATAAAACCAAAAGCAGAGTCTGTAAATAAAAAGATTTCTAATAAAAATTCAAAAAACAAATCCAAATCTGCAGCACTGAAAAGGCAAAATTCGTCTGGTAGCGATGATCACAATTCTCCAAAAATACAAATACCACGTAAAATTTTAGAAAAAAATAATTCAAATCTACCAAGACGCTGGGTATCATTGGACAATCTTGGTTCACCGATTGAATCTCACGAAATAAATACTTTTGATAGATCTAATCAATTTGAGAAAAAGAAAGTTTCTAAAACGCCTAAAAAGTCAGAAAAAGCAGAGACACTGAATAATTCAAAAATTCAAAATAATAATCCTAAATCTGCAGGAAATATTCTTAAACGACCTATACAAATAAATAATAATTTGAATACAACAAATACTTCCAGTCAGACTGTATCTCCTGAAAAGATAGAGAAAAATCAACAAGTTGTTAATAAAATCAATAAAGAAGAAAAGAAAGTTACCAAGGAAAAAAATTCAAAACGTTTTCAAACTGAAAAGGCACAGCAAATTAAGAAAGCTCAAAGGAATCGTAGAAGAGAGAATAGAGAATCTCCAGTTAAAGATTTATGTAAAAATTTAAATAAATATGCCAATCGTTGGATTAAAATCGGTTTAAAAATATTTCATTGGTTACTGCACTTAGTATCTGATGTAGTTAGTATGAGTGCCAATCTTATGATTCAACTGTAAGTAACATTTAATATGGACAATATTTCAGTTTATATTTTACAGTACTAAACAGTGTTAGACGTTATTCAACTAACAAATAACAGATAAATTATTAATGATAATCTATCGTTGAAGACGAATGTAAGGAATAAGGAAAAGGAACTATTCTTCACTCCAGTCTCCACCACTATTTCTTTATTTGTTACTTGATATAACTTTTGTTTAACACTGATACCAAATAATATTTAATATTAATACTTTATACATTCTAATTACTTTAAGTAATTTAAACATTGTGTATTACATTTTAGTGGTAAATGTGGGTGGTATCATACGATATTATATTTAAAATATTCATGGGTCTACATGGCTGTTACATTTTCTAAAGTTCGAATTCTAAATGCTGTTGGTAAACAATTGGATGATTGGTTTGGAAATAGTAAATTTGCATTTTGGCGTAAAATAAAAGCCAAAAGTGAAGAAAAAGAAGAGAACAGTAATTGGATACGCGGTGGTCTTGAAAGTAATATTGCATTACCTAGCACTGGTGAAGAAGCTATGAAGAGATTATTGGCTTGTAAAGGAAAAGATCCTTACAGTATACTTGGTGTAACACCAACATGTTCAGACGATGACATTAAAAAGTATTATAAGAGGCAAGCTTTCTTAGTTCATCCAGACAAAAATAATCAACCAGGTGCAGAGGAGGCCTTCAAGATACTCGTACACGCATTTGATATAATTGGTGAACCGGTATATTTTCATATTTATTACGACAAAAAAGTTATGAAAATGTTATAAATATTTTTCGTAAAAAATAATTATTTAAAAACCGTATTACAATTATAATTGCACTATCCTTTTAATATTTTAGGAACGAAGACAAGCATTTGATCAAACCAGACAAGTTGAAGCAGCTTGGGGTGAATTAAGTGATTTACTTTCTCAACTTCATAGAAAAATGGAACAAGCAGCAAATACAATAAGATGTACAAATTGTGGTCTAAGGCACAAGAGAATTCCTACGCAACGTCCTTGTTATGCAGCACGATTTTGTGCTCAATGTAAAATACGCCACAGTGCAAGAGAAGTAAGTACTAAAATGACATATAAACAACAAAATTTTCTTAAACTGTACTTTTAACTAGATTGTTTAAATTAATAGGGAGATATCTGGGCAGAATCTCGTTTAATGGGTTTTCTTTGGCATTATTATGCTTGTATGGAGGGTGCAGTGTATGATGTCACTGACTGGGCAGCTTGTCAAGCTGGTAATTTAAAACATCTGAGAGCAAATACGCATAGTGTCCAATATAGAATTGTCTTAGGTCAGCGACCGCCATCGCAAACAACCGTCAATAATAATAAAAAACGTCAACAAATAGATCCAAATACGAGGTACCATTATTCTGATGTTTGATTAAGTTTATAATCATATTATATTAATATAATATTATAAAATGTGCTGGTAAATATACAGTATTTCAAATTATTTCTTATTTTGATTAGCGAAGCAGATTTTGAAGACTTTTTAAATAATTTGTACAACCATAGCAAGACCGGAACTTCAAGCACATCAGGAGATCAAAATTCTTTTAGAGGGGAGTGTAAACGTCGTAAAGCTAAACGTAAGAAGTAAAAAATATGGCAAGTTACTTCCTAATTCTTTAGTATCTTTCGTATATAATTATACAATAATATACATACTTCTTTAATGACTTCTTATATTCTTTCTTCAATATGAGTATAGATAACATTCAGTGACTTTAGCACAATCCTGAAATACTAAATAGAACAAACGTGAAAAGATACATGTATGTAATATTTCTCTTTAAAAATTATATTTTTATTTTTATGCAACAAAAAAAAAGTTGCAAAAGTTTTAGAAGTGTACATACTTACTTGGAAAGAGTAATGTTTATTTAATAAACTCAAACTGAATATTCGTTTAAAATTAAGGTAATTGTTTAAAAAATAATAATTTTAATTATTGATTTCTGTAGGAAACCAACTTGTACTTTTTTAATAATTATAATTAATAAAGTATACAACTTCAGTGTATTTTAAAATACAAAGATTCGTAATTAATATAAAGTTCAAGATGATGTAGTAAACAGACTAGCAATGTTAAAATACTGTAAATTCCAATTTTAGAAAGATATAAAAGAGAAAAGTTATCTTTTGAACCAAATAAGATGTGAATCTTAAATACAAGTTATTTTCACAAAATTAATAATACAGGATTTAACAAAAATTTCCAAACAAGTTTAATACCAATCAAGACAAGCGATCTTTCAGTATGTCTAATATATACATAATACTCAAATATAAATGTTAGAATAGTATTTTAACATAATATGCAAAACAAAGCTGCAGTAAGTAGGTAGTTTTTTAAGGGTTTGTTTTTTTAACTTAGAAAAATTGAAAAGCAATGAAAAAAGGTCAGTCATTTTATCCGAAAATCCCCCGAATAACATGTCAACTTCTCATAAATTATTGTACATCAGCTAATGTTATCTATGAACTGTAATAATTATGCAATATAAGTGGAAAGAATTTTTAATTATAAATTGTATTAACTTTTATAATGTTTTCAATTTGTTCGTTTTTCCAATTACTTTTGAAATATTAGATCCTGTGTATAAATAATACATACAAGTAAGAAATATTCATTCGAAGTATTTAAGTATGTTTATTATTTTTTGGAAATAAAAATGTATTAGAGAAAAGTTGTATGCAAAGGAACGATACGACGATAGAAAAAAAATTTCTTTAAAATTCTTGTTCAAAAATTTAAGCTCATTGATATTTTCTCTTTAAATAAAGTACCTTTTCTACAAAATCTTTGTAATACAGAAGAAATTATTTCAAAGAAGTACTGTTGTTGTGACTATTTAATCTCAAAATATTTGATTAAATTTCATTCGATTAATTTTAATTTTTCCCTGCTTAACTGATTTGCGTATTAGTCAGTTTTTGGATGATCAGTCCTCCTCCCCCCCCCCGTGTGAAGTTCAGTCATTCAGTGCTGATTATGTATATCATCATGTTACTACAGTGATAATATTGTGCGTTACTACTCATCAGCTCCAATATCTGTAACACAAATTATGGTGCGCCTATACTCAGCGCACGTCCGCCTTTTTCTTTCATATAAATATATTTATATTAAATATCACTGTGCCCATAAATGAAAATCGTTAATTTTCTTTTACACTGTACTAAGTATTATAATTACATTGGAATTGTTAGAGATGCTAGACAGACAATAAATCATTCACTTTATAACATACAAAGAAATCATTTATTTATTTTAATAATATAGTTCATCTGTAGTTACCACACTCAAAGGTGTATCAAAGTAAATATTTGTATTCAATGAATCAAATCATTTGACCGAATTACATTGTATTATTGAAAATATTTGGAGATTAGATGGTCACAATGATATACTATGTACTATAGAATTCGTTTCTTTATATGCTGAAAATATTATAACAATTTCTTTTCTATTTAAATATTATGTATTGATAGTATAACAATAGTATCTCTTGTGATCTCTGAATATTTATAATTGGTAGTATAAAAATGAGAATTGGCATATGTGAAATAAGACTGATTTTTTCTCTCTTTGTTTATAAATTATATACTAGATAGAAACTTTTGAAATACTTCTTTTTACATCTAAAATATTCTCTGGCATTTCAAATGAGAAAAATTGACAAATTATTTTCTTGGATTGAATGCAAATATTACAGTTACTAATTAAATTTTAAATTAAAAGTAAATGTGATGTAAAAATTTCATTCTGCATTATACAAAGTAGATTATAAATAATAGTAGACAAATTAAAATATATTAATGTGTATGACTTAAAAAAAATTATTTATATTTTACTTATAAAATAATACAATTGTGCAATTCTTTGTATGTGCAGATGAAATTATATACATGTGTATCATACAAGTTTTAGGATAAAGATACATATTAGATATAAAACTTCAAAATTTTAGTATAAAAATAGTAAAATATTTTTAACCAATACTTTGCTATCTGTTACATGAATGATTAATAAGTATGTCTTTGTGCTTAAAAACTCATAATAAAGCGCTTTTATCTAATTTGTACTTATTTTTATACATCCATTTTTAAAATTTAGTTTTAACTATTCATTAAATTATACATAAATCAGTTTGAATTTAATTTATATGTATGCAAAAAGATTGTTATTTTCACATTATACACTTAGTTTATATACACTATGAGGTACACTATATTTATTTATTTAATAATAATTATTAAGAAGAAATAAAAAATCTTATAAAATCAACCTTCTCCACATATTTTAGTGTATTTTGTTGTAAAAATCAGAACTGTACTTATATGTGTATGTACAACTTATACACATATATAAATAAGGTAAATCAATGACATGTTACAAGGCATAAATATTAAATAAATTAAATTTCAATTCAACATTCCTTCTAAAAATACAAGAGCATCGACATTATCAATTGCTCTTTCTACATCTCTCTTTTGTATTGTCTTTTTTTTCATTTGTGCTGTATATTTATATGATTCTTTAGTAAGGGAATCAATAAAAAGCTCCTGTAATATGATATAAAGTTAATAAGAACATGAAACATAACAAAACCAAAAAGTTTTATATTTAAAAGGAAGTAGTACAATGCTTACAACTCACAAACTAATAAAACAATTTATAATTACCGTAGACTTTGCAATTAAAAAAACGGCTTCTTGGTTAATCATGTTCACTTCAGGATCCATTTTTATAATTGTTTTTATTCTACCTAGTGGTAACCTCACTAACTTTTCCTTTTGTTCTTCATCAGTTCGCATATTATTTTCTACCTCCTCTTGAGAATCCTGAGAATTTTCTCCGCCGATACCAGCATTGCTTTCATTTAATTCTCTGTCACTTACATTTCCTTCGTTTTCAAAATTTGCCATGTTCACATTGGTTTGTAGTAAAAATATTCGTTTACATTTGACCGATAAAATTTCGATATATTTCGATTATTCTATAAGATATGATAACCTTATATAGATACAGTACTAAATAATATAATTTTTAAAATTTAAACTATGAAATACATGTTTCTTTTATGCATTATAAATTTGAATTCTTTTTACACATAAACTTTAATATATATTTTCATTATTATTTTCTGTTAAATATAAATAAATAACACAAAAGTTTTAAAATATTATACACACCCAACGACACGTTATTGTTTATTTAATTTATTTTAGAATTTTGAGATAGTAAACTGAAGTATATATAACGTAATTGAAATAACTAATTAACATTTTTCCAATAATTTTATAAATCATATAATAATTCAATATTAAAAGCGCTAATGTTAACAATTTTTTATTCTAATATGAAAAGAGCAGATTCAAATGTAATTTCATATTGCACAGCATTCATCATTTTTCGGGTTGTGAAAAGCTAGTGATAAGTGATATGACTTTCTAGTGGTGAAATTTATTAATATAATCATTGTCCAAATTATGAAAAAAGAGTCGCGTTTCCTACTGTATAAGTTCTTTTTAATAAGTCTATATATATATACATATATATATATGAACATTTAAAGAAAATATTGATATTATTATTATATTGAAACTACCCTATTTTAAGAGATACAGTCACCAATCTAAACATTTAACTACAAGGGTAAATGTCTTTTCAATTTCCACATGGACATCAGGCTTTTATTTACGACTGGTAATTTGACAGTCGTTTTAAAATTTATGAAATTCTAAAATATGGAAGAGACGTCTTGTAGAGAACAATTAACGGAAAACACAGGTTTTAAGATACATAACTAGAGCTACAATGAAATAGCCATATGACTTATCAGATTTATTTTATTACAGATATTAATCAAGATGAGTTAATTCTTCAACAGCAAAGGCGAATTGAGATGGAGGTTAATATTTATTTCTTATCACTTTTAAAATGTATTTATTGAAAATTGTTCTGTCAGTTATTAATTACTGTTATTTTGAAAATTGTTTAATGCTATTCCATCATTGTTATTAATATTTATTCCTGTTTCTAGCCCGCTAACTTTTATAAATGTCTTGTTTTATAGTTTCAATTATTTTGAACTAAAATACAATTATTATAATCTGATTGAATAAATTATTACAATGTAACATTTTTATTTATTCTCTCTTAGTTTATATTGCTAAAAAGCAAACATAAGTATAAAATAATATTAATTTTTCAGATTTCTGAATCCATTGCTCTGGTTGGTGAGAAAGAACCTATAAAAAGTTTAGAACGTGAATATACAGAAGATGAAGTATATCTTTCAAAAGCTAAAGCATTGGGTCAAAAATATTCATACATTAGAAGAACTAGACCAGATGGAAACTGCTTTTTCAGAGCCTTTAGTTTTGCATATCTTGAAAAGTTAATTGGAAATAAAGAAGAATACGAAAAATTTCGAGAACTTGCATTAAAAAGCAAAGACAATTTAGTAGCATTAGGTTTTCCTCAATTTACTGTTGGTGATTTTCATGATACGGTAAATATGAAATAAGATTACAACATATTTATAATGCTTCATGTATAAAAAAGAATATTCTTTTCATTTTAAATTACAGTTTATGGATGTAATTAATAAAGTAGGAGGAGATGCAGAATCAAGCTACATTGAATTACATAAACTTTTCAATGAACAAGGGTGTTCTGATTATGTTGTTGTCTACCTTAGATTAATTACTTCTGGTCAATTAAGAAGTGAAGCTGATTTCTATCAGCACTTTATCGAAGGAGAACGTACTGTTTCAGAATTTTGCCGTCAAGTAAGAATTATGCATAATATTTTATTTAATCATTTTTGATAAATAAAAAATGTTTCAACAACATAATATTTATGAAATTAATAGTGAAAACAATCGGTTGGTAATATACATAATTTGCAATAAAAATGATTTATTTTTATAGGAAGTGGAACCAATGTACAAAGAATCTGACCACATTCACATTATAGCAATGAGTACTGCTTTAGGAACTGGAGTACGAGTTCGTTACATGGATCGAGGTGCCGGGACTGAAGTAACTGCACATGATTTTCCTGAAGGTGCTACTCCAGCAGTTCATTTATTATATCGTCCTGGTCATTATGATATTTTATATCCTTGATAAATTGTACAATACGATTTTTTGGAAAGTCTCTTTCACAACAAGAATTTAATTATTTAGCAAATTGTATCTTGTGTATGTAGCCAAAATTGATAAAACTTTCATTTGGTAAAACGTCATAATACTACTTTTTTGCGTCATTAATTTAAATATTACAAAATACATAATATAATTACGAAATTTTATGTAAAGAATCGAATGTATTTACATAGAGTTGTAGCTTTCTAAGAAGATATGAATTTATCATTTTCTAATAATTGTATTAAATTTTTTTCAAACTCAGGTTATAAATTAAGTACATAAAATAAACGACAAATGATTTAACAAGATATACATTATTTATCATTTTTCGTTTTAATATTAAACCCGGACTGTTATATACAATTGTATTATGTGATTTGATTTCAATGGTATGTTTATAAATATTTTCATGGAAACTATTAAAACAAAAAACTATACTGAATTTAAAAAATTCAAGGAAATCTTTGATAGAATACCTTAATTCAGAATAAAATAATAGAAAAACAATTAGTGCATTACATGTATTCCTTAATACCATACAGTATTGATGTAAAATATTTTTTACAACTATTTATATACAATCATAAACTTAAATCTCAAGAAGAAACAAATTCATTTCATCAATTTCTAACATATCAACAAATGTATCAAAAATATGTAACAAATTATATAAAATTATGATTATGCTATTCATTCATGAATTCATTACAATTTATCTTTGCATAGCACGTATTTGTTCAGTAACTTGCTCTAAAATCACAGAACTTCTATTGATAGATTCCATTTGATATTCTAAATGAGTTGTTATAAGAGCAACTTTCTTTAAATTATTTTCAGCAGTTTCTAATCCATGTTCCTGTTGTGCAAAATTTTTTGCACTATGCATTAACATCTGTAAATATTCTATAATTAAAGAGATTAATGTTCACATAAACTTTATTTAACAAAATATTACCTCGCTACTTTTTGAACCTCTTTGTATTTGCCTTGCAAGGGATGCAATGTTATTTACATTAACTTGTACTCTATCAGCTAATCTCATTTTTGATTCAACAAATAAACTACGAGCACTTGTGCTTGAAGCTGAAGCCATAGTGTAGCAGTATTCAACAATTCTAAGATAAATTTTAAGTTGATTTATTTGATTCTTAAGTTTGTATTCTTGTTCTTTTTAATTGTTATATAAGAAAAACCTACATAAGATGTATAATTACCTGTAAATCTATATTAGTAGTTTATGCTAAATTACTTATTAACTATTTTAATATATATTACAATTTATAATTAAAGGGCATTTAAATTAAAGAAACTTGAAATTCTGTATTTCTCTCTGTTTAGAATAACAAATATGTGTATACATATCAATGTTTCTGATATCAATTCCTACTACCAATAGTGCTGAAATGTATATACAAGTATACAGCAGTGCTCTGTACTCACTGCTTACAGTACCAGTCAAAATTCAACTGATTGTGAGTTGATACAGTAGAATGTGACATGCAAATGGTAAAGAGGCAGCACTGGAATGTCTCGAATCGTGTGGCATAAAAGCATTGAGTTGTTCTTGGTTGTTCTGTTCTGTTCTATATATAAATTATGGCTCAAAACCGTTGCGTTTGTGTGTTGCGTTTGTGGTCGGAGTCAAAAGTTACGCAGAGAAAATTACCGGGGTCCGTGACACCTCAAGATGATATTATATAGTGCAGAGAGTCGACGGGGTCCCTCACACTCTTAGATGATATCAGGTCGGTATACAGAGAGCGCCACCGATACATCAGGGTCTCTGACACCCCGGATGCCATAATGTCGGTATGCAACTCAGATAACTATCTTATATATATATATATTTACAACTAAATTCACACGACATTGCACACATATATATACCGCAGTTCACCAGAGTCCATAACTGCGACGCGCAGGTTGGAAGATGGTGGGAGAACGCAGCGAGCTCTCCGCCAATCGCTTTCCACTTCGTTTGGGAGTATCGCCTATTAGGGCGAAGATGCGCAGTGGAGATGCGCGAAGAACGAAAACTGGTCTTTTCGCAGTTATGGACTCTGGTGAACTGCGGTATAAGTTATATATGTATGTACATATGTACATACAGGCGAGGTTCGCAACAATACCAACATTATGGCATCGGGGTGTCACGGACCCCGTAGCTGAAATGTACGACCCATAGACTTCCTATAGAAATGCCGCACAGACGCAACGGTTTTGAGCATGGCAAGACGTAATAATGTTTCAGTACATACAATGAGTATCCATTACATATTGAATAAACATTAATAACATGTATTCAAATCAGCGATATTTCATTATTTAATTGTATTTTATCTTTTATAAATGATCAGGATATTTTATGATTAAAACAATAAAATTTAAAGATGGATGATGATGTTAGTATACTTGCGCAAGAAATAAAGAAAGCTAATAAACTTCCAGAAAAAGATGCAGCGGTAATATATTTAATAATGTTTAGTTTTCTAATTAAATAAATAACTAATGTACATTCGTTTTTGTTTTTTGTATATTGTTAAATTATGAAAACAATAATTATAAAAACTTTTCTTTATTATAGTTCTTAAATAAATTATGTATACAATTAATAAACCCAGTATTACCACAGCATGAAATTGAATTACGTGCTGGATCTCATTGTCCAACACAGAAGGAATTAAAAAGGTTTGAAAAAATAGCTCATATTAAAAAAGGATCTTATAATCCAGAAGAGGACGCAATAATTACTCATAATTGGAAATCATTTTGCAAGGTTTGTTCTTCATACAATACGTCATTTATACGGCACAATTTATAACTGAATTAAAGTATTCTGTTGTAGCTGCATAATTGGAATTGTAGAAATGTTCAACCTTTTTTATTGCTGCGAGAAGACAATAAAACATATATTCGTAGTAAAAAGGAAAGAAGGAAATTTGTGCAGTTTCTAGCCGATGGCCTACCAAATAGAACTCTGTACAGTGTATATCATAGATTTAGGAATCTATATGCAGATCGTGTGCAAAGAAGGTAATATTTAATAAATATTATAATAAACAACACTTATTTTAAGTGTTATTAATATACAGTTTTGATATTTTAAACATTTTTATATTAAAATTGATAACAAAATATCTTTAGATAAAATCAGAGTTACTTCTTGTTCAAAGGAAATCTGTATTTCATAAAACAGAAACATACAATTATATAATGTTATAAAATCTATATACAAATATGTTCAATGACTCTTTAAATTAAATAATTTTTCTTCTCTATACGTTTTTGTGTAATTAGAAATGGTAAAGGCACATACAAATTGTAATGTATTATGAGTTATATATATTCAGTTTAAAATTATGAAATATATTGATTCAACGAATACTAATCTTTAACTTTATTTAAATGGTTAAGGTTTCTTCCTGAAGAAGACGAAATGATTTTAAATCACTTAGAAAATAATGCAAATCTTGATGAGAAACGGAAGTATACGGATTTAGCAAGGGTTTTAAAACGAACTCGAGCATCTATATGGCGTCGTTATAAAATACTTAAGAAAAAGCGTGAAAAAGAAGTACAACGAAATAATTGTATTAGTATGCCGTGTTGCTAATTACCGCCTAGTATTTGTAATTAAAAATAAATTTTTAATTTTGTTCTGTAGTTTAGTAAATTTATATAATTAATAAAGTTTAATACGTTTTTTATTATTGTTAAATTTATACTATTGTTTTATACTTGCACACGCACACATCATAGATAATTATTGATTGAAATTTCAGAGAATGTTTTCCCACAAAAAAATAATATTAATTAACTTATAATACATTTATTTGTTTATTAATAAATATTCATTAGTTAAAACTTTTTAAAATTTACTAACACCTTAACATAGCTTAAATGAATATACATACATAGTAATTTCACATATTGTGTCCAAAATAAGTAAGATTTTATGTGTAAATACAAACTATAATGAAATCTAAACTAATGATTTTTAAACGATATTCGTAATACAATGTATACATACATTTAAGAAAGATGAAAACTTTTCTAATTGATACGAAATTGTTATTATTTATGTTTTATGGATGGCACACTAAATCGTTATATATACATACATTTCATTTATCTAACGTGATAGATTTTTAGGTTCTTATTGTATATGTACGAAATGATTAAAATATATGAAAAAAATGAATTATAACTTTAACTATAATTAAAAATAGAATAGTTTATTATCGTAAAGTCAATGTGTGTACCTAATTTTGAAAATTTATTTTTTATTAAAAGTTTATATCTTCAATAAAATGTCAAGACTAGTGCTTTAAATTATTTTTTAGTTTACAAAATGCAAGATTTAATGAAAAATTTTAACAACATTAAATAAAAGATATTAAACTGTAAATACTGATTATTAGTTTATACAATTTGTACACGTTTTTATAACTAAATAAAGTTTAAAAGAAAACATGATTAATGTAACTATAAGTACTTAGTTTGTTAATATATAACTTTTAAATGTATTTTTGCATACTACGAATGCACTAATATGTATAACATGAAAATTAAAGTATTTAAAGCAATAATAATAGATGATACATGTACGGATCGATCTTTATAAATGTACAAATTTAATTTTTTGTACAAAATATAAATTATAATACTGCTAATATTAGCGTCAATTTCTCAATAACAAAAATATAAATAGTGTACATAAGATTATAAATGACAACTTTCTATTTGAATGCAGTTACATGTAAAATAGAAGTATACCAAGGTACATATGCAACTTTATATAGGAGGTATCCCAAAATTATACTGAAATGGAGACTTAAGAATTAAACAGATTATCAGTAAACCACATTTTGTAAGAATTGAGAAAACATTGGTGTTTTTAATGGTATATTGACTTATATTCAGTACGAATGTGGGATATCCTGTAAATAAATTCATGTATTTACATAACTGAATTATTATTTAAATGATTTCAATTTTATTAATTGAAATAATTTAGATATTCATATAATTGAAGACATAAATTTTGTTGCAATAAAGCACTAGTCTACAAATTTTAGACACGTGAGTATTTAAATAACGATTTAAAAAAAAAAAGGGAAAAGTCATATATTTACACAAGGGTATAGTTTCTACATTATATAGTATAAGAATTGTAGCACATTTCATTGTTTTGTGCTTATCTAGCATGTATACATATTTGTATAAATGTATACATATATATATTTATGTATACATTAGCAGAGGTACATACATACATATTCTTGATAGAATAAATCTTATTTTTTAAAACATTTGTCCTATCACAGCAAGTGATCGTACTGCAGATTGCACATTATTTACATGAATATGATGAGCAACTGAATGATGATGCTCATCTACAACTATTTCTCCATACTGAGCTCGACAACGTTTTTGATGAGCAAATAAGCTACCACTATGACTATATGCTGCTCCGCATGTTTTACATACATATGGTTTTTCACCTGAATGAGTGTAAGTATGTTCTTTTAAAGTACTTAGTCTTTTAAATGCTTTACCACACGTTTTACACAGATAGTTTGCTTCTCCCGTATGACGAGTTAAATGTCGTCTAAAAGCTGAACTTACAGCAAATGCTGCACTACATACATGACAAACAAATGGTTTATCACCGGTATGGATTCTAATATGATTTGCTAAACTGGTTGTTGTAGTAAATCCACTATTGCAAGTTTTACAAACATGTGGTTTAATACCAGTATGAGTTCTCATATGATACGTTAGGGAAGAGTTACTTGGATACACTTTACTACAAATGTGACACAAGTATTCTCGTGGAACTTTCTCTTTTGGTACATGTGTCCTTTGATGAAGAACAAGGCGAGCTTGACTAGCACAAATCTTTCCACAAATTTCACAAGTAACTGGTTCAGCTTTTGGCTTATGTGTAGATACATGACGCCTAAGACCTTTTTTTGTAGCCATGATTTTATCACAATGTTGGCATTTATATTCACCGGAACCATCTTCGTCACTTTCTTCTTTTTTAACACTTTCACTCTCTTGCGCATTATTTGTTGTAGTATTTGGACAAGAGTCATCATCGGAATCAAAGAATTTGTTATTGTCAACTAAATTATCCAATAACCCATGTCCATGTTTTTCTGCATGCTTTTTTAAGGTATCTGGCCTAAAGAACCATTTTTTACATACAGTGCAAGAATATTTTTTATCACCATGTACCAGAGTATGTCGTTTTAAATTCTTTAAAGAAGAACAATACTGACTACAAATTTCACATTTGTACAGTTCAGGTGCATTTTCAAAATTATAAACTTCATTTACAGTACCACTTTCGTCATCTGTATCGTCTTCAAGTTTCATTTCTTTTTTTGGTTCTTTACTATCCTTCTGTTCATCTGTATTAATTTGTTTGATCATGTCATTTACTTTTTCTGTATGAGATTTTAAATGGCGTACAAGGCTCTGAGGCTTAGAAAAGCATGCATGACATAACTGACAAGCAAGAGGTTTGGACGCATGTATTTTTTTATGATTCTCCATGTTCTCTTGCTTGTAAAACATTTTTGAACATATATTGCATTTATGTTTTTTCTCATGAACAAGGGAATGTTTTTTTAAACCTCTTTGTGTACTAAAACATTTTGAGCATACTTTGCACTTAAATTTTGAATCCCCAGAATCTTGACCATCATTACTTAAATCGTAATAACTGTCATCGATCTCATCTTCGCTGTAAGTTTTATTAGGCACTGATTTAACTTTTCTGCTTGATGTACGTTTCTGTAGAACTTCTTCCTCTTTAACGTCATCATTTGATATACTTTCATCAAGAAATTTATCCTCTTCTTTCTTGTTATCTTCTTCCATGATCTGACTTGTATCTTGAATGTCTTCGGATTTATTTTCCATATCTATGGTTTCAGAAACATCATCAGTACTTTCTTGTGTAACACAAGTTTGATGTATATCATTTTCTGAAGTGCCAGCTTCCTTTTCAGTTTCTTTAGTTCCTTCAAATCCAATAGAACATATGAAAAGTTTTTCACCCTGCATTTCAATTTGGCCAGTATTTAAAGTAGATTCATTTCTGCAATATGCATCATTAGTCTGTATAAACTCTTGAGAATTTGATGCTCCTTGCATCTCTTCCTTTACAAAATAATCTTCTTCGCTAACTTGTTCTTTTGATAACGCTGTTGTTATTTCTGATTCTGTCTGTGTACATGTATCCTAAAATATTTAAGAACATATACATTTGATATATCAAATGTATTGCATAAATATAACATTTTATATTTACCACAATAGTAACTTTTGTTGGTTTATTATAATACATTCTTAATTTGGCATCAGAATGTTGACACTGTTGCCTAAACTCATGAGCAACGCTTGCTTTATAAATACAAATATCACAAATTAATGAAGGTAATCCATCTTGTTCGTGAATTTCTATTGATCCGCAAACTTGTATTTTTTGTGGAAGATCAGAAAAATCATTTACTTCCTGATCCGTAGAAAAAATAGGAGATAAATTCGTACCCTCTGTAAGACAAATTCTACATATTCTGTCCATATTAAGCGGTAAATCAAAGTATTCTGTCATTGTTTACTGAAAGAAAAAAAAATAATTTATCTGCTCGGAATTTCTTTTTAATTCATACAAATAATATTAAACTACAATTTCGAAAATAAGTAAAGTTTTCCATAAGTACTTTTTTATTTTACATACTTTTTCACAAAATGAAAAAGCTATGTTTCATGACATAAACATTGGATTGTATAAAATGCAAATCTAAGTATACATTGTATACCCTCAGGAGTTTCATTCAATGTATCAATAATTATATTCCATTTAATATATTATTAATAATAGTGAACAGAAGTTCATTATAAGTAGTAATGGTATAAAAATCCAAATACATTGTGACAAAGTATGTATTCAAAATACGTCAATAAAATTAGAAGCGTATATGTAATAACAGATGAGGGTGTACATCCAAAATAAAATTGTTTTATTCTAAAAAGCTTATTGTTTAAAGCAAATAAAAAAATATTAACGTACAAAAATGGGAGGTTCTCAACCTTCGGATCTTTTGTGTACCGCGAAAACATGCCACGATGGTAAAACAATGGTTAGCAGTGATGCCCAGATGAATGCAGTGGAGCTTCTTCGAAAAAATATTGTATTTTTCAAATGTATACAATGTACAGTTTTCATACAATTTCTATACAACCTGAGAGAACAGTATTACGCGATCTATTAGTAATTATGTGCTCTGCATTTTTGCGATAATGTTCTACAAAAAATATTTAATACTTTTCCATCTCTTTGTTCAATGGCTTCTTTACACATTTATAAAGATCTACCACGAAAGTTGAGAACAACCTGAAATGAATTTATGAAGCCAGAAATCTAGAGAACTTATGAAACATAATGTAGAATGGGTCAATACAAAGGAAAATTGCACATGGATATATATTGAATAATTGCCACTACTTACTTCATATAATATAGCACAACTGTATAATATATCAAATTAGCGGTATTTGTACTTAACAAGATATGTATTAAAAAATGATCTATGATTTTCTTTTATGTTTGTAACTAGACTTTTCACAGTTTGAATAGTCTGCATCACAAAAATTATATTTAAAATCTATTACAAAGTATAAATTGAATTTTGACAATTTAGTATATGAAACATTATAGCAAAATATGTTTACATATTACTAGTGCAGCTATTTATAATATTTTAGCATTTTGTTATCTAATAAATTGTAGCTTGATATATCCTTTATCCTACTTCACCTTAATTTGATACATATATATATATGGTATTACAATGATTTAATTAAATATTTTTAAATTAGATAATCAATTAAAACATATAGTTTGTAACTAGCGGAATCACAATTTTGTAGAACTTAGGAATTTTATATTTATAAAATTTTGTATCATGCGGAGAATGTTGGGTGGTTTATCTACTTGTGAAAATTCTTAGGTTTATTCGCCAAGGGATATTCTTATCCGCCGATCTGTCAAAAAATGTAAATGTAAGACTATGATTGAAGTTTAAGGTTTCTAACATACGGTAATGCAATCGAAGCAAGTTACCCGATTTAGTCGGAATATTGGACGAATGTAGAAAGAAACCTTTTAAGCGATATTGGAAATACCATTTATTTTTTAAATGCCATTATGGCTCTCCGTAAAGTAAAAGGAAATTTTGAACGGATGTTCGACAAAAATCTAACGGATCTAGTACGCGGGATTAGAAACAATAAAGAGAACGAGGTAAATTCATAATTATCTACTGTGCCTTATTTTAGAACATTTATATAAGGATATAACCTTATTCAGTTAAGTTAACAATCTAAGTCATTTTCTGGTATCAATAATTATTTTCTTACTATTAGGCCAAGTATATTGCACAGTGCATTGAAGAAATTAAACAAGAATTACGACAAGATAATGTTGCAGTTAAAGCAAATGCTGTTGCAAAGCTAACATATGTAAGTTTAACATTTATATAACTTGTCACCAGTCACATTTTTGTCATTAATTATTATAATTTCTTTAACTTTGTTTAGCTTCAAATGTTGGGCTATGACATTAGTTGGGCTGGCTTTAATATAATTGAAGTAATGTCATCTGCCAAATTTACGTACAAACGAATTGGTTATTTGGCGGCAAGTCAGAGTTTTCATGCAGATACAGAAGTATGATATTATTTGAAATTGAGATAAAATACAAGTCTCAAAGAAATCTGATAAACGTTTCATGTTTGATTATAATTAAATATAAATTTTAATGTGAGAATGTATTTTTCATTCAATTCTTTCTAATTAAATATGAAAAAGTATTCTTTTAGTACACATTTATCCATGATCAGTATTATACTTTAATGGATAGTTTGTTAATTAATTTTGTATAAGCATTTGTTTTGAATTTAGATAAATAATTCAGCTTATTTTGCAAGCTGAATTGTGGTATATAAAAAAGATTTGTCAGGTTTCCAAAGACAAATAAAATAAATGAATTATTTCTAATAATATGAAAATTTATTGCAGCTTCTGATGTTAACTACCAACATGATTCGCAAAGACTTAAATAGTCAAAATCAGTATGATGCTGGTTTGGCTTTAAGTGGTTTATCTTGCTTTATAACATCAGATCTTGCACGTGATTTAGTCAATGACATAATGACGTTATTAACTTCTACCAAACCATATCTTCGCAAAAAAGCTGTGCTAATGATGTACAAAGTTTTTTTGCGATTTCCAGAGGCCTTGAGGCCTGCATTTCCTAGACTGAAAGAAAAATTGGAAGATCCGGATAGTGGTGTACAAAGTGCTGCTGTTAATGTTGTTTGTGAATTAGCAAGAAAAAATCCAAAAAATTATTTAAGTTTAGCACCTGTTTTTTTCAAACTCATGACAACTTCTACAAATAATTGGATGTTAATAAAAATTATTAAACTGGTAAGTGCAAATGTTGCTCATCGTTAGCTTCGTAAAATCAAAGTGAAACAGATTAATTAAAATATAGGCTCATTGTTATAACAAAATAAGCATTTACGTATACATAATGCTTTTTAACATGAGCCAAGTAATATTGGTCTTGTTTCACGTGCTCAGTTCTCCACTATAACACTGATTGAGCCGAAAATGGGTCGGCGACTTACTCAACCACTAATTGACCTGATTTCAAGGTTTTCATATTAGTTGATTACTTTTTGTTATCAGAATATAGTGAAATGATAGATGTTAGTTTTAGTATGAGTTTTAGTAGCTTGTATTTTCTTCTAACATGTATTTGTTAGCAGTTATTTCATATACTATGTAAATTATGTTTAGAAATGTTATTATATATTGAATACTGCCATATTTCTTAGATTGCAATTATATTTCCAGTTTGGCGCATTGACACCTCTAGAACCTAGGCTTGGCAAAAAATTAATAGAACCCCTTACAAATTTGATACACAGGTATTTAACGTATTTTTGTCTCTAAATATATAAAAATCTTGCACTTGCGTGTTTGGTGCTGCTTGTAAAATAGCATCATTTTTTATTATTAATATTATTAATATGGAAAACGTAGTTAATTATTTATTTTTTCTAACAATTTGCATTCGCATTTTGTTGAAGCCAATTTAATAAATATAAGTTTCCTTATTGTATTTTATTATCACTTTAATTATTTAAGTAATGAATTGATTATATAATTACTACAATTTATTAATTATATAATATTATTGATTTTTAGTACATCAGCAATGTCCTTGCTGTATGAATGTATAAATACAGTAATAGCTGTATTAATTTCGATTTCCTCTGGTATGCCAAATCACTCAGATTCAATCCAATTATGTGTTCAAAAATTGAGAATATTAATAGAGGATTCTGATCAAAACTTGAAGTACTTGGGACTGTTAGCAATGTCAAAGATTTTAAAGACTCATCCTAAAAGTGTGCAAGCCCACAAAGATCTTATAATGCAATGTTTAGATGATAAAGATGAAAGTATAAGATTGCGTGCCTTGGATTTATTATACGGAATGGTTTCAAAGAAGAATTTAATGGAGATAGTTAGAAAATTAATGGTACACATGGATAAAGCAGAAGGCACTGCTTACAGAGATGAATTACTCTCGAAAATTATTCAGATCTGTTCACAAAATAATTATCAATTTGTTACTTATTTTGAATGGTAAATATATATATAATTTCTATTAATTAATACATATTTGACCTATTTACACATAATATGTATATAGGTACATATCTGTATTGGTTGAATTAACACGAATGGAAGGTACCAAACATGGACCATTAGTAGCAACTCAATTACTTGATGTAGCGATTCGTGTACAAGCTATACGAAAATATGCAGTCCAACAATGTGCCTTACTGCTAGAAAATTCATATCTTCTAACAGGCCAACCAAGAGCAACAATGTCTGAAGTTTTATATGCTGCTGCATGGATTTGTGGAGAATTCTCTAGGTATTCTATATACACATCTTGATCTATATTCATTTTTTCATTAAAGCATAATTGATAATATATTAAATGAATAGTGAACTAGAAGATCCTTTAGCAACATTACAATCGATGTTACGATCACAAGCTTCTAGCTTACCAGGACATATTCAAGCTGTTTATGTCCATAACATCTTAAAACTTGCTACAGCAACGTTATATAAAGCCGAAAAGGATGGAGATACTGAAACTATGGAACAGGTATGTCTTGCACTGTTATAGAACTATCATTCCATCATATCACATTACACGTGGTTACACGTACAGATGTGTTCCTAACGTGTTTTTTTTTATTTTATAGATTTTTGCGTTAAAAGATAAAATAGCAGCTTTTGTGTGCAGTGGGGATTTAGAGGTTCAAGAAAGATCTAGCTCTGCGTTGGTATTACTTGAATGTTTGAAAGAAAATCCTGGTTTGGTAGAAGAATTGATGGAAGCGTTTGAAGGAGAACTCAATCCTGTTGCTCCCAAAGCACAGAGGAAGGTAATAGTTACATATATTTGCTGTACGCATATAAACTTATGCTTGTATATGATACTCTAATATAATTTAATCACCTAAACAAAATTAATTTTGTGTTATATTTTGTTTGTTTGTTTAGGTGCCGATTCCTGAAGATTTAGATTTAGATTCATGGATCAATGATCCACCATCTGAAAGTTCAGACTCAGAAGATTTAGATATGAATGACATATTTATTAAGACGGATAAAACAAGTGATTCCTACTCTAAACGAGAATTAATCGAGCCCTCAGCAGAAGAACTTCAGAAACGTCGCGATGCTAGAAAATTGGAGCAAGAAAATAATCCACATTATTTGAAAGGCACATTCAAGAATTCTGCTTCGTATCATAATTCATCAAGTATTTATGAAGAATTTGAAAACATTCCTGTAGCGGAGTTAGATATTCCAGTTTCTTTGAAAATTACAAACAATCATAAAAGATATAAAGTACACAGCAGAAAGAAGAAGAAGTCTAAGAAAAGTATGTTGAAAGTTTATATAACTTTGTATATATATTTTACGACAGTGTTACAGTATTAAAACAGAACTATGGAAATTCTTTTAGATAAAAAGGCCACTTCGGAAGATGAACAAGACGATAGTTATCCTGTTCAAGTGGTGAATACTGGAGTAGGTGAACTTCCACCAGGAGCAGAATTAAGTGACAGCGATGATTATGATCAAGTTGATTTAAATGATCCACACAGAGCCTTAAATATTGACTTAGATTTACCTTTGAGAGACGATGAAAGGCTACCTGTTCTAGAGCATAGAGTTATTGAAAATAATATGATTCATGGAAGTGGTGAAAGTAAAGGGAAGAAAAAAGAACAAGTAATATATTACGTTTTCTCTTATTTGCGTTTAAAAAATAATATATCA